GGGGAGTGGACGCTCTATCCGCAGACAGTTCAGAAGATCTGGGAGATCTTCGGTGAGGCCGAGGTATACCTCTTCGCCTCAGAAAACAACACTCACTGCCAAATTTATTTCTCAAAAACCAGGGACGCGTTGGCCCACGATTGGCCAAACCTCCTTCTCCATGCTTTCCCCCGATCGCTCTGATCCCACAGGTAATCAGGCGAGTAAGGGAACAAGAACACAGGGTTCTCCTGGTAGCCCCCCTTTGGATGAACCAGCTGTGGCTATCAGAGCTGACTCAGCTACTGATAGCGGCCCCTTGGCCTGTTCCACTGAGACGGTATCTCCTCTCTCAAGTGAATGGGACATTATGGCATCCTCGGCCCAACCTATGGGCCCTGCACCACTGGCTGCTCGACGGGAGCCTTCGTGCCTCCCAGAGCGAGTCTTAAACACAATTTCGGAGGCTAGAGCTCCGTCTACGAGACGCCTCTGTGCCTTAAAGTGGTCATTTTTCTCAGCCTGGTGTCTAAACCACGGCAAAGACCCTCTCACTTCCAAAATGGCAGAGGTGCTGTCCTTTCTACAAGAGCTGCTGGATAAGGGTCGTTCCCCATCCACGCTCAAAGTCTATGTGGCGGCTATAGCAGCCTCTCATGTCCCTATTGAGGGTCAATCGGTGGACAGAAATAGTGCGGTCATCCGATTCCTGAGGGGTGCAAGGAGGCTGAATCCGCCTCGTCCCCCTACCGTCCCTTCATGGGACTTGCCCACTGTGCTGAGGGCCCTGAAGGGCCCGCTTTCGAGCCGCTACAGTCCGCCAACATTAGGTCGCTATCGCTGAAGACGGCTCTGCTTCTAGCACTAGCATGCGACTAGAGGCATCGCCTCGTCGTGGGCATGGTCCAGTGGTGTGTCCATTACGGATATTTGTGAGGCAGCCGTCCACATTTGCGAGGTTTTATAACCTGGAAGTCCCGGCCTTACAGGCCAGGGTCCTTTCCACTTGAAATAGGCACGCACTGCGTAAACGGATATGGCAGAGAGCCCTTGGCCGTACCACGCCCAATTTCTCTGGACTTGTTCACCTGTTAGCTCTCGACCCCTGGGTGTCGGAGTTACGGGGATACTCTGGAACGATTAACCAGGCCTGGTGTGACCTAGAAAGCTCAGCACATCTTAGCCTTGGGTTATTGTTGACTTCTCTATAAGCATTGGTTGCTTATGGAAGTTATACATTAAGTCGTTCCACTACATTAGCACGGCGTGATTGGACTGTTCCCATGTACGTCTTAAGCAAGACGCAGTACGAGTGAAGTATCGAAAGGGAACGTACTCGGTTACTAACGTAACCTCAGTTCCCTGAGATACGGGAACGATTACTGCATTGCTTGCCGTGCTATGTAGCTGCACGACTCAGTCGTTGCTTCAGTTGAAGTAAACCTGAGAATCCTGTGGCGAGCACCCACTTATCAAGCCAGATGCCCTGCCCATTCTGGTGGACTTTGGCGGGCTTCATCGCCATAGGCTCGTGCAGCTCCGCTGCCGAGCCATTGGTTCGTTTTTTAAGGTCTGCACGAACCAATGGCCGTGCAGTTTCACTGCGTGAATGAAAAAAAGGCTTCAGTTCAGCAGAAAAAAAGGCTTTTTCCCATATGCGTCTTAAGCAAGACGCAGTACTCAGGGAATCTCAGGGAACCGAGGTACGTTTTTTATTTTTAATAAATTTACGAAGTTGTGACAATTCCACATCAATCTACAATTGAGTGTAGATTGATGTGGAAAAAAAGTAATTTAAAGAAGTTTATCATAAGGCATAACAACATAACAAAATGTAAAAGAAATGAAGGGGTATGAATACTTTCGCAAGGCACTGTATATACGTATACATAGGCTATTGATGATAAACACAGTTATTAGTTTCCTTCTCTCCACAACAATTCCTCTAAAGTTAAGGATATGCATTTAGGCTATAAAAATGTCAATCGAAAAACAAATTAATTTAAGGTGAAACTGATGCCTACCTCGACTGGTGCGAATCCAAATTTTTCATATTCGCAATGTATCTGGAAAATATCATTTATTATGTGATAGGCTTTGTACTTCACTCGCATTGACATCATCCTTCACATCGGCTAGCACAGTGAGGCGGTGGTCACGCTGAACGCAACAGATTGTACAACGGAGCAGTGCAATGTTTCTTTAACTGTATTTTATTTTGATAATGAACAGGCTGCAATGCCGCAAAATATGTTGTGTCTGTGCGCGTGAGGCGCCGGCGCGATATGGTCATACCAACGCTGGTTGGATACACAGTGCTTAATTTGTAAATTGTGAGGTCCCGGAACAAAGTGGGGTGACGGATCCGGCATGATTAGAGGAGGGAGGGGTAAAGGAGCATTCGCACAATGCGAGGACCAGCTTACGTGATTAACAACATGCATCTTCTTACGGTCATGAAAAAAATTGAAAAGTCATGAAATTTTTTCCAGGCCTGGAAAAGTTTTGGAAAAGTCATGGATTTTTTCCCTTAAATCTCTGTATAATAGAATTATGTTTAATCTGCTTTCGAGTTTATAATGAGGGAAATTCCTGCAAACATATTCAATAGAGCATGTAGGTTAGATGAGTAAATAAATCCACACATACTATCAGATTAAATCAGTCATTTGAAAACAGCGTGAGTGATTCAGCTGTAGCGCGTCTTCTCTCACTCTCAAAGCGTCTTCACAACAGCGCATCTCGTCTGCACTACTGCACGCTGCGATACAAGACTTTTGCTCGGGTTTCGGGACAGTCGACAGAATTGTCACTTGCCCAATCGAACAATGAAAGTCAATGTTGCATAGTCACAAAACTGTATCATTTGCACATCTTTTTAAGTTTAAGCCATTCGATACTCGCATGCTCCAAAGGGGGTTTCCTATGCGCTCACGGTCACATCCATAGCGCGCATATTGCGCCACCTTACGCGGCCAAATACACACAAAAATGGCCGTCCTGGCGATTATCCTCGTAAGCACAGTCTGCACATCGGAGAAAGAAAACGCATGTGTATAAGTATTGGATCCGTGCATTCGGGTTTGTGAGAGCAGCCACGTCGCATCTCTTTTTTTTTACATTCTATGGAGCAGCCACGTCGCATCTCTTTTTTTTTACATTCTATGGAGCAGCCACGTCGCATCTCTTTGCGCGCTCAAGTTTGTTGTTTCAAATGTAGATGCTAGGCAAGCCTGCTCATAATAGAAGTTTTTTTCATGAAATATATGCACGCTATAGGTCAACACAAAAGTCTTTCATTGGCGCGTGAGGAGGGGATCTGTCAAATGAGGTGCCGGATCAGATTTCGGACAAATTCGGAGGTGACGGATCAGGATCCGGCTTGTTCCGGCACAAATTAAGCCCTGGTTATACAGATAGAAGCTAAACATCATTCAAAACTGTCAAGATTTGCAAAATAATAAAACTGTAAAATAAACAAAACTGTAAAGCTTTTGCAAAATAAAGAAAACTATTTTCTGCTGTCTCGTTTTCCTTTCCGTGAACTTTGGATCGCGTCACAATAAACCGCAACTCAGCACATTTTTTTCTTTCGTTTTGTTAATCTGTCAATGATTTAAGTGAAATACATTTAGTGTAGGGCAATATAGGCTATTCCTTTTTATGTAAGCCTATAGTTTTATTCTGTTTTCTCCGTTCACAGAAGTGCTGCAGGTGCGCGTGATCTGTTGAATCCATCTTACACTATCCTCGGATAAGCTCTAATGCATTGCCATTGCGACTTACCTATGATGAATTTACAGCTGAGCTGAGCTGGGCATTTCATGCGTTGGATGCGTCAGCGTCACATTTGCATATCTGAATTCCTGACAGCAAATTTCGAATATTAAATGGAACAATAAAATAACGTTATTAACCGGTTAATGGCCATTTCAAATTTTGATTCTGTTCGGAACTATAAAATTTTATTTAGTTTCTGTTTCTGTCAAAATTGTGTACATTTCCAGTTTTGGTTTTCGTTCCTTGAACCGGTTCAGAGCCCTGATTTAAACTACTGTCAATCTCAAATTTTTTCCAGTCTCAATCTAGTCTCTGTAGTCTTATATATTGAAGAAGTCAAGAATATATTTGATCCCGAAATCCAAGTCAACACAACGTCACAAATTATGAAAACTTTATACTGTTTGCCCATCAATAGGGCTCTACGCTTACTTTTCTTTTTAGGAGCACTTGTGCTCCTAACTTAAAACACTTGGGAGCACGTTCAAAATTTTAGGAGCACCTTCTAATCAATCCAACATTTTATAAAAAAAAAGTTGCCTTCCCATTAGGAGGTGATATTTGACTCCTCTAACTTTATTAAAAATATGTCATTTTTTGTCAATTTCTTAAAAAATATATATATATATGTCAAGAGTGACTGTCTTTATGAATGGGTAATCATGAATCACTGACCCACTAGATTCGTTTAAAAACCCCGTTCATTAATGAACGAAACAATGCTGTGTTTGAATGGAGATGCGCTGTGTCTTTGTTTTAAACTATTTTCGACAATGGGATAGAGCAAAATCAGACACTAGTGTTATAGTCAGACAATGTAAGTCACTTAATATTAACTTCTTGTTTATTGAATTGTATTGTATTAAATCAGTATCACATTTACAAACTCCTTTAAAAATCATTAAAAGCTGTCACTCATCTTAGTTCATCTCGATCTCACATTTATAATCAACGAAGCTCTCTACACTGCGCAATGAATCTCTTATTTACACCCTGTCTACACTTTGCTTATGAAAGGATTCGTGAGATATGTCTGTGATACATTACTCAATGCTGCAAAAACACATAGAAACCTTTGAAGCTCCCCTGAGCACAATCACAAGTATGATGATGATCGGGTCAGTCGCACTGGTGCTCCTTTGAGCGAATTCAGTCACGAATTCAGAGCCCTGATCTACACGTACTGATAAACACAAGTTTTCTCTGCATCTACAGAAGCCCCGAAACCCCTATTCCCTTACCTTTTTATCGCTGAGGCCAGACACAGTGTCAATGTATTCCTCTTGGATCATGAAGGCAGCCAGGTTGGCAGTGTAGCTAGCCAGGAAGATGACAGCAAAGAAAGCCCAGACAAGAACCATGATCTTGCTAGTGGTTCCTTTGGGGTTCTCCACTGGAACGGAGTTATTAAAGACCAGAGCCCAAAGAAGCCAGATTGACTTCCCTATTGTGAACTTAGAACCTCCGGCCTCTGACAGAGAAGAGCAAGTGAAACAGAGAAAGAAAGACTTTTAACACTGACTTAAATTTTAAAGGCACATTAATTATTCATCAGCTCCAAACAAACTAAAAAGTATCAAGACTGCTAAACTGATCAAAAAGGCTTCCTAAACTTCTCCTATGCATATGATAAGGTGAGAAAGGGGTGCCGGTGCCAGAGGATGAAGAAGAGAACAGAGGAAGGAGAGGAATACAGAGCACAAGTCTGCAGTCCTTTATTATACATGAGTGTCTGCGAAACTGCCTGTACCACAAATTCCAAACCCACGTCCAGGCCAATAAAGAACAGAGGTGAACTCGGCCATTAGGACTCCTGAATAAACTCAGTGACAAGCAACTGTGCACATTTATGTCCGTTAAAATAATGCTTGAGACTACCAAAGTTTGACCTTATTAAAAGGTTAAATGCAGGACTAAGAGCAAATTGGACTCACTCTTGCCACTCTGAAGGCTACGGTTGTACCCCACTGGACTGAAGAACTCAAAGATGAAAACCGTCACTGCCACCACGGTCAGGCACATTACAAACATCATCACCCACACAGCAGGGCTGTACGGCTCTGAGAGAGGGCACAGAGAAAGAGGAGAGGACAGTGAGAAATCAAAACCATTAGTAGTATTTTTTTTTTTTACTTGGTTTGTACACAACAGAGCATAAATTAATACCAGGGGTATAGCAACCATTAGAACTGGAGGTGACCTTTGGAAATGACTAAATTATGTTAAATCAAATTAACTTTTTAACTTAACAAGGAATTTAAAACTGTTATATTTGCGAAAATAATAAATTTTTATCTGTTCATGCATTTTCTGGGAACTGAACTCATGATCTTGCTAGTGACATGCAAAACAAAAAACGAAACAAAACAAAACAAAAAACACATTTACATGTGGCAAACACCTGTATTAAAAACAACCTTAATTGCATTTTAAGGTATATATTTTTATCTGTTCATGCATCCTTGATATTGCTAGTGCTATGCTCTTAAATAAAATAAAATATAATAAAATTAAATAAAATCGACATTCGGCAAAAACTTGTATTCAGAGCAACTTAAAAGTGCTTTTGGAAATTGGTCCCATGTCCTTGACTTTGCTAGTGCTATGCTCAAAGCAAAGCAAAGCAAAGCAAAACAAAACTAAACTAAACTAAACTAAACAAAAAACTAATTTACAATTGGCAGACACCTGTATTAAAAAAGCCACTTAAAAGTAAAACAAAACAAAACTTGACATTTGGCAGACACTTCAAGCGACTTTTACTAGTGACTATTCAATGCGACTTAAATTGAACTTTAATTAGGCCTGCTCGATTATGGCAAAAAATCATAATCACGATTATTTGGTCAATATTGTAATCACGATTATTAGTGGGTCATGAACAAAACATAATATTAGTGATAAAAGTCCTCAAAAATTATTGAAAATAATTAAACTGTCAGTAATACAATAAAAACAAAAAGCAAAGGTCAAAAACAATAGAAAAAAAGATACAAATGAAACAAACAGTGCTTTAAGTTTTTTTATGCAAGTCTAAAGTATTCAGCTAACAGCATACTACAGAAATGGAATAATCAAATGTAAAATAAAACAGCATAGTCTTCACTGTAAGAATTAAACTTGCTCTATATTTTTTTATTAAAGTTACAAAAGTTCTTCAGTCAACAGTAGAGAGTGATTTTCTCTTTGTCTCTTGTTGTTTGATATGACAGAAGGAATATTACCCGCTGTTGCTTGAAGAGCTGCACGGAGAAACATGAAAAAATCTAATAAACTTTAATAAATCAAGCACGTCCCATTTTGTGAAAATAATGTTACATGATTTTACTGATTTGCACGTTAAGTTTGGGCTTTTATGGAGAAGTGCCGCACTGCTGGAAAGGGGTGGAATGGGGGAACAATAATAGTTTTATCTCGATTATTGCATTTTCATAATCGTTGGAAGCCAAAATTGAAACCAAAACTGTATTTCGATTAATTGCACCACTCTAACGTCAATGTACAGTATTTTTTATCTGTTCATGCAGTCTCTAGGAATCGAAGTCATGAATTTGACGCAGCTAGTACCATGCTCTGAAGTAAAATAAAATATAAAATAAATTACAAATTAAAATAAAATAAATGTACAACATTGAGTTTGTTTGAAAAAAAATTTGATTTAGTGCTTCTCACTGAAGTGTGATAAATAGTTTGTTTTGAAAGGGAACTGTAAGTCTGATTGATGAGCTCTGAAATGATACGCACCAGTACCTGGAAAGTCATACATCATAATCACATGCAGCAGAGACTGATTAAAGTAAAATATGATGAAGCATTATGGCTCGCACGAGACTCAAACTCACCAAGAAAAGCAGAGGGAGATACGGTTCCGTTACTGCGAGAGACCATGACACTGATGCCCGTCTCCACGAAGGGCACAGAGAAGTCCACGACCTCTGACCTCTCCTCGTTGATAGTGAGAGAGCCGATCGCCATGTCTGCCCGCTTGTACACAACCTAGTGAACAGGAGGAAGTGGAAGATTGTATTTTTGCCCTTTTGCCACTTTTATTAGTAGCAGGAAAGTTTTATTTACAGGATTTATAGGGACTCATTTTACAGGAGCATTAGACCTAGTAAAATTCTGCTGTGCCCTAGTAAACTTTTATTGATTAATCCTTGTTTGACAAGGGAAATTACCATATACTGACCTAAGAAACATGCTAGACTACTCAATGGATTTGATCACATCCAAAACATCACAGGCTAGTCGAGGTGTACATTTCCTTACTTTAGATCTTCTAGGGAAACTTAGATTTGCCCTGGGATCATGTGGCCACTGTGAATTGCAGAGAAATGAGAGACTGAAAGGTAGCTAGTTAACCAAGCTAAAATATGCTAATGTCTGAATGAGTAGCTACTGCAATCCCTATATTTAATAGGATAGTAAAGAAGCAACAAGGAAGTACAGGAAGAGAGAGAGGCACCAGCACTGGGACAAAACTCGAACCCAGGTCCCCGTGAGTGCAACAGGACTGCATATGTCTGAAGCAACTACCCTCTGTGCCACAGCTCTGACATGAAAAATGCATTATGGATCAAGAAGGCCACAAAGAAAGCTGCTGCATTAAAAGTGCACAACCTACATTGTGGAAAGCATGGAGCACTTTATTTTAAGCACTTAAAAATGGTTGAGCTAAGCATATAGTTAATTACCTGTGGTCAAAGTGCTTGTGCCACTGAATGTGCTTTTGAAGGTTTTGTTCTGATCTGTAATAATATAAACTAAAAATGAATTCAAGTGAATATTAGTTGTTGGACATTAAATTTAGATGTAAATGAATGTAAAATTCATTAGATGTAATAAAAATGTGATAATGATATTTCTACATGAACTTTGACCACATGAAACTATATGATCAACCATCTTTGAAGTGTTTAATATAAAGTGCTGTGAAATTTCGACAACTTAGTGCTTGTGGTCTTTCTTTATCTTAAAAATACATTTCATTATGATGTTATTTTCAGAGGAGAGAATGTGCATTACTGCAGACGATTCTACCTATTATCAGTTAACACTTGTTTTGTGTATGTTTATTATATATAATTTAGTTATTTAAACAGCAGTCATGCTACTTCAAACTACAAACAGCTTTTTTATATACTGTATGTATGGTACACTACCATTCAAAAGTTTGGGTCAGTAAGTTTTTTTCTCTTAAAATAATTATACATTTTATTAAAGGATTAGTTCACCCAAAAATTAAAATTCTGTCATTAATTACTCACCCTCGTGTTGTTCGAAACCCGTAAGACCTTCGTTCATTTTCGGAACACAATTTAAGATATTTTTGATGAAATCTGAGGGCTCTCTGACCCTCCCATAGACAGCAAGGTAACTACCACATTCAAGGTCCAGAAAAGTAAGTAGTAAAGATGTGTCTACTGCGTCACTTGTGGACATGCGTTCACGACAGTATCATGACGCAAGCATGTGGCGGCGCTGACCCAGATCCGGCGTGATGACGTCGGACGCCGGATCTGGGTCAGTGCCGCCACACGCTTGCGTCATGATACTGTCGTGAACGCGTGTCTACAAGTGACGCAGTAGAGACGAAAATGTGGAATAAAGTCATTATTTTTGTTTTCTTTGCACAAAAAAGTATTCTTGTAGCTTTGTAACTTTACAGTTAAACCACTAGGGGTGCAATGGATCGTAGATGATCCGTGATCCATACGTACCAGGCACCACGGTTCGGCACGCATGTGATTCTTGGATTAACTGTTAAGTTTAACCATCATAGAGTGAAAGTTTATCATTTGCACATGTTTCGTCTTGCCAGTTTACACATTCAAGCAGTTTTAACTAACGCACTTTTTTCTGTGCGCTCAGCCACTGAAAAAGCGCAACTAAAGCGGGCACACACAGAGAGAGAGAGGCGTGATTCAGACACAGCGTGATTCCTTTTTTTACATACACAGACCTTCGTTCATTTTCGGAACACAATTTAAGATATTTTTGATGAAATCTGAGGGCTCTCTGACCCTCCCATAGACAGCAAGGTAACTACCACATTCAAGGTCCAGAAAAGTAAGTAGTAAAGATGTGTCTACTGCGTCACTTGTGGACATGCGTTCACGACAGTATCATGACGCAAGCATGTGGCGGCGCTGACCCAGATCCGGCGTGATGACGTCGGACGCCGGATCTGGGTCAGTGCCGCCACACGCTTGCGTCATGATACTGTCGTGAACGCGTGTCTACAAGTGACGCAGTAGAGACGAAAATGTGGAATAAAGTCATTATTTTTGTTTTCTTTGCACAAAAAAGTATTCTTGTAGCTTTGTAACTTTACAGTTAAACCACTAGGGGTGCAATGGATCGTAGATGATCCGTGATCCATACGTACCAGGCACCACGGTTCGGCACGCATGTGATTCTTGGATTAACTGTTAAGTTTAACCATCATAGAGTGAAAGTTTATCATTTGCACATGTTTCGTCTTGCCAGTTTACACATTCAAGCAGTTTTAACTAACGCACTTTTTTCTGTGCGCTCAGCCACTGAAAAAGCGCAACTAAAGCGGGCACACACAGAGAGAGAGAGGCGTGATTCAGACACAGCGTGATTCCTTTTTTTACATACACACAAAGTTATGTTAAAATACCCATTTTGGCAAGTATTCTAGTAAACGCAGTCGATTATTTCTTAAGTGAACGTAAACAGGTGAGAAAGAAACGTCCCAGGTTACGTATGTAACCCTGGTTCCTCGAGGGAACAAGACGCTGCGTCGGAAAACGCTAGGGGAACGCCTTCTGTAACCACGCTCTGAATCACATGTGAAATCAGTCCAATAGCTGAGCGGGACATCACGGGTGGGTGACGTCATGACCAGGAAGCTATAAAAGCACATGCGGCGGAGCCAGCGTCAGCTTCTAGGAATGAAGCAAGCGCTGGCAGGGACGCCGGAAGTATGGCACCGAGATGCAGCGTCTCGTTCCCTCGAGGAACCAGGGGAACATACGTAACCTGAGACGTTCCTCTTCAGGAACTCAAGCTGCGTCGGAAAAAGCTAGGGGGACGAGAATGCCCACGTCGCCAGACTTCCAAGTCTCTGCCTAGTGTGGAAGACTGCACAGCTAGGGCAAGAGAACAGAAGAGCCAGGAGTGGCTCGCATGTCTAGACTGTAGAACCTAACAAAGGTAAGGGGCGTGGACCACCCTGCAGCGTTGCAGATGTCCTGCATAGGCACACTCGCTAAAAAAGCCTTAGAGGCTGCCACACTTCGAGTCAAGTGAGCCTTGACCCCTAACGGCGAGGGGAGATCAGAGGACTCATAACAGATGGAGATGGCATCCACTATCCACCGACTGAGGGTCTGTTTAGTTGCTGGAAGACCTCTCTTAGGGGGACTGTAGCACACAAGCAATTGGTCTGCCCTCCTCCACAGGGCAGCTCCGTGGACGTATGCATCCAGTGCTCGCACTGGACACATACAATTAAGCTTCTGCTGGTCTGGTTCCCCGAAGGGAGGAGGACTGAAGGCCTGAAGTACGATGGGCTGCGGTGCTGATAAGGGGACTTTAGGGACATACCCCACACGAGGGTACAGAAATGCTTTGGCCAGTCTGGGCGCAAAGTCAAGATATGAAGGGGCCACAGAAAGGGCCTGTAAATCCCCAACTCTCTTAAGAGAAGATATCGCCAGAAGAAAGGTAGTCTTTATCGTAAGGTGGCGATCAGAAATCTCTTCGATAGGTTCGAATGGAGGCTTACAGAGAGCTTCTAGCACTACTGCTAGGTCCCACGTGGGGACACGTGATCGTACGAGAGGCCTCAGCCTCAGCGTACCGCGGAGGAAACGTGTAACCAGGGGGTGTCTTCCCACTGAGATGCCTCCGAGAGGGGCGTGGTAGGCCGCAATGGCCACCACGTAAACCTTCAGGGTGGAGTGGGTTAACCCTGCAGAGAAACGGGCCAGCAGGAACTCCAGTACTGTACCAACTGGGAGTTAGCTGGGTTGAGCTGGCGGTCTCTACACCAGGAAGTGAAAAGTTTCCACTTCAACGCGTACAGTTTCCTCGTGGAGGGAGCTCTGGATTGGAGGATGGTCTCAACAACCTCAGTTGAGAGACCAGAAGCTACTAGTTGTGCCCCCTCAGGGGCCACACCCATAACTTCCACAGCTCCGGGCGGGGGTGATAAATCGTGCCCTCCTCCTGTGAAAGGAGGTCCCTCCTGACGGGAATCTCCCACGGAGAACCGTCGAGAAGGGAAATCAGATCCGAGAACCATACTCGGCCCGGCCAGAACGGGGCTACTAACAGTAGACGTACTCCGTCCTGGCGCACTCTCTCCAGAACTCCTGGGAGCAGCGCAATCGGGGGAAAGGCATACAGACGAAGCCTCGGCCACATCTGTACCATGGCATCCAGCCCCAGTGGAGCTGGATGATTCAGAGAGAACCAGAGAGGACAGTGCGATGTCTTCTGAGTCGCAAGCAAGTTTACCTGAGCCTGGCCAAAAATACTCCATATCTGCTTCACCACCT